TTCAGTTTCCGGAAAGGATGAAAACACAAGGACTGTTCATCATTTTTGCATGGTTTCAACCTCTGATCTGAAACCTCCGTGTGTTCATCGGCGTCCCAAACGTCCCACGAATGTTCAACAATCTTCAATGAGTCATAGACCTCATTGTCCAAAAAGATGTCTCACACAATTGCTTAGGTCTCAACCCCTGACACCTTCTGCTCTCACCTTCCTCCATCCCCACGGCTTGCAAAGCATGTTTGTGGCACACGCGATCTGTGGCGGCACTGTGGCTGCACGCGGGGCGGTGAACAAGGCAGGTCAAACTGCAGCACAGCTCACGTCAGGCTTCCTCAAATCAACCGCTCACGAGGGGTTATTGCAAGTTTCTAGTCAGTTCACAATGTTCGCAATGAAATCACAGCTCATCAATTCACCCAAACTTACCCAGTCTGGGTGAATGGGAGGAAGCCTTTACCGACTTTAGAGGTGATGCAACAGCAGGTCACGTTGACCAACGACATCAAGGTCCATTGACCCTGACACCTAAACTGGAACCATCTGCGGACACGCAAGGTCCATTGACCATTGGCTGCCCAACCACACAGCAAAGTTCGATCAAAGTCAGGGTCCATTGACCGTTGACTGCCAGGCCATCCATCAGTTTCAGAATCAGCAGTGGTGGCTTCCATGAAGTTTGTTGCATTGCAAGCTGATGTTGACTGTTTGTATGAAGTTTGTTGCATTGCAAGTTGATGTTGACTGTTTGTATGAAGTTTGTTGCATTGCAAGTTTGCTGGTTACTAGTTCATTGTGTGTGTGCGGTCAATTGTTCATGAAATGATGCCACCACTGCCGCACAAGTACTTGCAGCTAGCTACCGCGCATCAGGAATTTTGTCTAGGGCTTTCTCAAGGAGCCGCGTGGTTGACCCACTCGATCCGCCCCACCCATCCTGATCTCCCGACCAGCGCCAGCTTTGCTCTGGCCAGCTGTGCCATGAGCTCGAGGACCAGCCACGCCATGAACTTGAGGATGAAGCCCACCAGGATGCATTCCACCGCGAAGCTCCATGCCGCTGGTTCATGAGCTTTTTGGCCAAGTTCCGCTCATTTTGGCGCTGATTGGAGTTGTGCCTTTTGGTCGCTCTATGGCCGCGGGTCCTTCTCTGCGGCGGCTGTGGGGGCTTGTTCAAGCCCATGCTCTTCCACACCTGGTCCTCGTCCGCCTCCACAGGTGTTTTTGGAGAAGGTATTTCGTCTTTTGAGCGCTCGTCGATCTCCTCCTGGCCGTCGTCTGCTTCTGCCCACCAATCCTGCCAGTCCTGCCACTCGTCCTCCACCTCTTCCTTCACCTCCAACTTCACATCCAACTTCGCCTCTTCCTTCACATCTTTCTCCCCCTCCTCAATCTCTTTTCCCACCACCTCTTCTTCTTTTCCCACCACCTCTTTCTCTTCTTCCACTTCCTTCTTCTCATTCTCCTCAACCACCTCTACCACATCGGCGAGGGCATTGCGCTGCAAAAACAGCGCAAGCTCCTCATCTTCCGGCGACTCCGGAGGGGATGCCATTGCAAGCGCGCCGATGGTGGCCAAACGGTGGAACAAGGGTCCGTCAATGCACAGTTGTGAGCATGAACATGCAGTGATCATCAGTGATCTGAAGAGGTCCATGAAGAACATGAATCGTGAAGTTCCAAAGGTTGAATCTTGCTGGACATCACAACAACTGCTGTACATGTTCGTTTAATGAACTGTGACTGATCTTGGAAGATGCTTTGCAATCCGTGTGCAGCTGCTGTTCACCCTCGCTCGCGTTGTGCTTTTGAGCCATGCACGGTTCATGTCACTGAATGGCTGGGTGAGTCGGACATCGACAGTTTACAAATCCACATGGCCCCACGCATATACAACGCAGTCAAGCACCCTAGAACTCGTTCTGAAGTCAGCGTGTGCTAGAACGTTGGTTTAATTCTGAAGGTGGGCGCCGGAACGAAAGTCAGAACGTCAATGGTTTGATCCTGGAAACCTGAGAAAAAGTGACCTGTTCCAGTGATGGCTGGTGGGTGGGCAG